GAGGGCGGGGCTGGCGGCGGTGGCGACGAGGGCGAGGCCGACGGTGGCGGCGGCGACGGCGAAGCCGACGGCGGCGACGAGGGCGGGGCTGGCGGCGGTGGCGGCGAGGGCGAGGCCGACGGTGGCGGCGGCGACGGCGAAGCCGACGGCGGCGACGAGGGCGGGGCTGGCGGCGGTGGCGGCGAGGGCGAGGCCGACGGTGGCGGCGGCGACGGCGAAGCCGACGGCGGCGGCGAGGGCGGGGCTGGCGGCGGTGGCGGCGAGGGCGAGGCCGACGGTGGCGGCGGCGACGGCGAAACCGACGGCGGCGGCGAGGGCGGGGCTGGCGGCGGTGGCGACGAGGGCGAGGCCGACGGTGGCGGCGGCGACGGCGAAGCCGACGGCGGCGGCGAGGGCGGGGCTGGCGGCGGTGGCGACGAGGGCGAGGCCGACGGTGGCGGCGGCGACGGCGAAGCCGACGGCGGCGGCGAGGGCGGGGCTGGCGGCGGTGGCGGCGAGGGCGAGGCCGACGGTGGCGGCGGCGACGGCGAAGCCGACGGCGGCGACGAGGGCGGGGCTGGCGGCGGTGGCGACGAGGGCGAGGCCGACGGTGGCGGCGGCGACGGCGAAGCCGACGGCGGCGACGAGGGCGGGGCTGGCGGCGGTGGCGACGAGGGCGAGGCCGACGGTGGCGGCGGCGACGGCGAAGCCGACGGCGGCGACGAGGGCGGGGCTGGCGGCGGTGGCGACGAGGGCGAGGCCGACGGTGGCGGCGGCGACGGCGAAGCCGACGGCGGCGACGAGGGCGGGGCTGGCGGCGGTGGCGGCGAGGGCGAGGCCGACGGTGGCGGCGGCGACGGCGAAGCCGACGGCGGCGACGAGGGCGGGGCTGGCGGCGGTGGCGACGAGGGCGAGGCCGACGGTGGCGGCGGCGACGGCGAAGCCGACGGCGGCGGCGAGGGCGGGGCTGGCGGCGGTGGCGGCGAGGGCGAGGCCGACGGTGGCGGCGGCGACGGCGAAGCCGACGGCGGCGACGAGGGCGGGGCTGGCGGCGGTGGCGACGAGGGCGAGGCCGACGGTGGCGGCGGCGACGGCGAAGCCGACGGCGGCGGCGAGGGCGGGGCTGGCGGCGGTGGCGACGAGGGCGAGGGCGACGGAGGGTCGGGCGGTGGTGCTGGCGGCGCTGGAGGTGAGGGTGGCGGCGTCGATGGCGGCTCGTACACGACTCTCGCCAGCACCGGTACCAGTCGAGCCAGCGTGGTCGACCATTCGCTCTGGTCATCACTCAGCGGGCCACGCAGCCAGCACAGATGATACTCAAACGGTGGGATCGTGAGCTGCATATCAATCGTGAGCTGCTCGCTGAGCAAGCCGCCGTTGCATGGCGTAGCTGTGGCATCGACGCACAGGGGAAGCATGTAGGCCGCCTCACACGAGGTATTGGGGGTGAAGATGAGGGCGTCTCCAGGGGCCGTGTCATTAAACACGCTCAGCCCCAGCCGGCGATGGATCCACGGCTCGGCTGGCGTTCCAACGTCCAGCATGCGACGGCCACTCGGGTGAAGGGTCGAGGGGGCGGTCGAGATGAGATGCAGCTCATAGCGAATGTTGTGAGTCACGACGATGACCTCGCCTTCCTCGAGATACGCTTCCGGTAGCGAGGGAGGGGCTGGCGGCGGTGGCGGCGAGGGCGAGGCCGACGGTGGCGGCGGCGACGGCGAAGCCGACGGCGGCGACGAGGGCGGGGCTGGCGGCGGTGGCGACGAGGGCGAGGCCGACGGTGGCGGCGGCGACGGCGAAGCCGACGGCGGCGACGAGGGCGGGGCTGGCGGCGGTGGCGACGAGGGCGAGGCCGACGGTGGCGGCGGCGACGGCGAAGCCGACGGCGGCGGCGAGGGCGGGGCTGGCGGCGGTGGCGACGAGGGCGAGGCCGACGGTGGCGGCGGCGACGGCGAAGCCGACGGCGGCGACGAGGGCGGGGCTGGCGGCGGTGGCGACGAGGGCGAGGCCGACGGTGGCGGCGGCGACGGCGAAGCCGACGGCGGCGACGAGGGCGGGGCTGGCGGCGGTGGCGACGAGGGCGAGGCCGACGGTGGCGGCGGCGACGGCGAAGCCGACGGCGGCGACGAGGGCGGGGCTGGCGGCGGTGGCGGCGAGGGCGAGGCCGACGGTGGCGGCGGCGACGGCGAAGCCGACGGCGGCGACGAGGGCGGGGCTGGCGGCGGTGGCGACGAGGGCGAGGCCGACGGTGGCGGTGGCGACGGCGAAGCCGACGGCGGCGACGAGGGCGGGGCTGGCGGCGGTGGCGGCGAGGGCGAGGCCGACGGTGGCGGCGGCGACGGCGAAGCCGACGGCGGCGGCGAGGGCGGGGCTGGCGGCGGTGGCGGCGAGGGCGAGGCCGACGGTGGCGGTGGCGACGGCGAAGCCGACGGCGGCGACGAGGGCGGGGCTGGCGGCGGTGGCGACGAGGGCGAGGCCGACGGTGGCGGCGGCGACGGCGAAGCCGACGGCGGCGACGAGGGCGGGGCTGGCGGCGGTGGCGGCGAGGGCGAGGCCGACGGTGGCGGCGGCGACGGCGAAGCCGACGGCGGCGGCGAGGGCGGGGCTGGCGGCGGTGGCGGCGAGGGCGAGGCCGACGGTGGCGGCGGCGACGGCGAAGCCGACGGCGGCGACGAGGGCGGGGCTGGCGGCGGTGGCGGCGAGGGCGAGGCCGACGGTGGCGGCGGCGACGGCGAAGCCGACGGCGGCGGCGAGGGCGGGGCTGGCGGCGGTGGCGGCGAGGGCGAGGCCGACGGTGGCGGCGGCGACGGCGAAGCCGACGGCGGCGACGAGGGCGGGGCTGGCGGCGGTGGCGGCGAGGGCGAGGCCGACGGTGGCGGCGGCGACGGCGAAGCCGACGGCGGCGACGAGGGCGGGGCTGGCGGCGGTGGCGGCGAGGCGAG